AAGAAATATTGTTCCACTTGGAAATTGTCTTCCTATGTGATGATGTTTCCACATATACAAAATTCTGCATTGTTTAGTTTATACGTATATTCAAATACAAAATTCACAAATTTCTTCTTGAAAAAACCTCTTCCTATAATGTATCGTATTGAATGTATCTTGTAGACGTCAGCTATGGAAAGTTATTATTTATTATAGATTTATACTTGTAAATCTCTTTATAGGTTGTTCTTCCATGGCATTCATTAGGTTTTATAAGCGTTCCTTTAAGTTTATAATCTTTCATTAGAAAACAAAATTTTAGTTGATTAAACTCATTTCTATTGGATTCATTTATGATCTAGAGTATATAATCTATCCCTATTTCGTTTTTGTATTTGATTGGTTTAATTTCATTAAATACTATTCCCAAGAATCCTCGTAGATTTATCTTTCATTAATTGTGGTTCACTTTTTATTCTGGTCCTTAAAAATAAACACTATTAATCCGACAATAAATCACTAAATCCATTTAAATTCGTTTAAAAAATTCCTCGTTGTTTGTACATCGATGGCAATTTAAAGATCATAGAGCACACACGATCCCAGCACGCGTTTCCATTAAAAATCCTTGTATTTTATTTTTTTTAGCGAACCCATGCACACATACGAGGAAATTGCAAGAAAACAATTGAATAAAATCCAGTTTCGAGGGCAAATACATTCACAAAATGCACAAACACTGAGATTCTTAAGAGACAGAGAGAGAGTAAGATAGAGAGATCTATGTATCCGTGGAGAAATTCCGTTTACTGTACCATGCCACACGAAGGCCAGACTCAGACTGAAACTTGTTCAAGAAAAATCAACGACGGGCCACCGCCTGCACCTGAAGTTTCAGACCACGCACGCACACACAGATACAACTACTACTCTTGGAGCGACCACACAGATACTCGCGTACCACAAGACACGACAGCAAAATAAATAAGAAGACGGAGAGAAGGCAGAGAAAGAAGGTAGAGAAGGTAGAGAAGGCAGAGAGCAGCCGATAGGTAGAAATGTAAGACAAGAAATGAAAATAAAACAGTGCCCCCCGCTTTACAGATTTTCTTTTTTTGGCCTTTCAGACTTCTTAACGGCTTTCACGCACACACACATACACACACACCACACACAGATACTCTCATAGCCATAAACACACACACAAAAGCGATACATACACTTGTCTAAATCGATAATGCCGTTCCGCAGCGTCTCAACGTCGTCCACAACGCGCCACAGTTGAAAGCATACTGAAAAAGCTTCCGATTTCTCGCCATATAGCGGCAAACCGGCATACCGATCGTCGCCGTTTCAGTTGGCTTCAAAACCCGGCCTGGAAATGCCGGGCAACAACAGCGAATTCGCCGCAAAAATGCTAGCCCAACAGCGTACGTCTGAACGTGGGCTCAAACGCTGAGCGGGGATTAGATGTCCTTTTTTTCTTGAGAAATTTCAGCTAATTGCACGGACGGCACATGTGCCTCTGATCCGGGGTTTTACCCTCCCACTCCTGCAGGCGGCAGCCTGTTGCTGTTTTCAAATATTTACTACACCGAATAACCAGCGGCCATAAAGTGTGCAAAATGTGCGAAATGGCAAACGGAAGCGGAATCTACTTAGGGCCCAGAAACGAAAGACTGAAGCAACAAACTTGTTAAAAGGGTTTGCCACTCCCACACTCAGAGGGAAACGAAAGACTTGGCCAACGAACCCTTGCTAAAAGGGTTTGCGGCAGACAGTAATAAAAGTAGGAATAATAAAAGTAGGAATGTTACACTTACTCATAGCGGATACCTTTTATACTCATATCCGAGCACTTTGCCTGTTTGTTATCCTTCTTTATACTTCAGAAGATCGAGTGCTCTGACGCCAGTGGAAATTATATAAACATAGTCGTAACATTCTATCAATCAATCGTTTGTTACGATTTCACATCCTTTGATTTTCATTTCCATTAGGAGACACCATTCTAACTTTCTCCAACCTTTCTAGTTCCTGGCCATTCCTACGGCTCAGGCCGCAAGATTCCATCAATCAATTGCTTGTTGAATGATAGATGCTACGATTAAACTTCCTTTGATTAAGGATCAACGCTCATCATCAAGATGCGTTAGTACAATAATTAAGTACGGATATAATATAAGAACATATTTTACACTCATTTCGGGGCACTTTGTGTGCTGGTTACTCCGTCCTAATCTCGGGTTATTCCTGCCACTCAAAATTATAGGGTCATAGTCTTAACATTCCATCAATAAATCTCTTTTAATGAGGGAAGTTAGGATTCCACTTCCTTTGATTTAGGGTTTTTCTGCCACAAATGATCATCATAATTTGTCATGGTTAAGTGCCTAAAAGAGGTTCTGTAAGGAATGATTTAGGTATGTTATATGGATATATAACCATGGCCATCTTCAGATCGATTTTATTGTAACACTTCATTTGTGGGTGAGTGCCTAAATAGAGGATGTTTTACCGGATGATTAAGAGAATTGGAAGATGATCTTCCCCCATTTATTCTGCATCAAGGATCATGTTCACGTTGATCCAGTGGCACCTTCAGCCGACTTAAGTGTACCCTTGACTTGGACATGCCACCGGTAGAGCAGGGCACGGAAGTATGTAAGTTCCTAGGAAAATAATGTAAGATTGTGTTTAAACATGTTTCATGGATTTTAATTGAAGAAATTTAGAAGTAGATCATGAGAAAATGTAAACCAACAATTATAGATACTAGTTACATTTAAAGAACTTTAAACTCTGGGAAACTCAACAAACGCCATCAGGATTCCATCCTTTTTACGCTCTGACAAACATCAAACAGAAAAATACACTTCTTGAGGTCAAATGGAAACCCACATTAGCGAACACAACCATCCCTCAGAAAGAGGAAAACGTAAGCCAAATTTAGACAATCAGACAGCGACAGGTTGACGAAATCCAATGGTTGGTTGTTGGTTGCGGCCAACAGAACGGAAGTGCCATATTGGGTACACGCACTCGAATATTCCAACGACGACACCGCCACGCATGCCCAATGAGTAGGAGGAGGTGGTGGTTCTTGAGAGGCTACGATCCATTTCGGTTTGGTGAAAGTTTTGAGATTTCCATCAGAAATTTATGAAACAAAAAATTCGAAATTTTCAGTAGCATTGGATTTCAATGTTGAAATTCTGGAAAGCGCGAATGTCACAGTTTCTGCACCGGTTTGAAAATGCTACCTTCAGAGGTAGGCCCAAAGACGTGTCTAAATCGTACTACAAAAACGGCGGGCTGAAACCGAAGCCAGATAAGCAACCATTCACGGTTGTCCTGGTACTGGTGAATGTCGTACCCGGAATAATGCTGGGCACTTATATAGCCAAGAGGTTGGCATATTATCTGGAAGTCAGTGAACTCTTTGCGCCCGATCTATTTGACGATGATGACTAGACCAGAATCGACCAGAATCCGCCCCAGTGTCAGCCTCAATGTGTGCCCCATATCCTGTTCGTACGAGAATATATGCTAATGTGCCACATCCACAAAACTGGCCAAACAGGATGCTTGCAGACCAGACCAGACCAGACCGGACTTTGGCTCTAAGCAAATTAGAGTAAAAAATCTATTCAATTAGTTCTAAAGAATTTATAACATTTTACATTTTCTGGTTTAAATTCTTAGTAAAATTCTTTCGGCATTCATAGGACTGTAAAATAAATTCTGATTTATTTGGCTTATTAAAAGATACACAGTAATTATGGCCGAGCACTAATTTCATTTTCCAATCGATATAGAGCATGAAAGGTTACTTTGAATTGCAGATGAGTTTCGCTCATCTCCAGATTTGGTTCAACGCCAATGGGGTTTTTTCAGCATATGATGCCTTGGAGTAGATTGTTGAGCATTCATATCTTCTTATGCGGTAGATATCTGCAGAAAGACCGTTTCGCTATGGATGTGGGTTATGCATTGATTGGGGGCAGACACGCATTACAAAACTGAAGCTCACACGCTTTAATATGGTTGTACTCTTACAGAAGGTATCTTTCTTTTCTAAAAAATTATATGCAGCAGCAGCCTGCATGAATCTACAATCAAAATATCTTTCATACGAACGAGGGAACGATCTTGCAGAGTATCAACAGCTTCGACAGGTAAAAGTGTTTATTCACATTGCTACAATTATTTCTTTCAATGAATTCTCCTTCGCGCTTCAGAACGTTCAACATTTATCCATTTAGCAAGCGCCTTTAATTATATACCTACTGTCTGATTTGTATGCCATTTTATACGTACCACTGCGTTTGTAAGCTGGAAGATTCCCTTTTCTTATCGCTTGCAGACGCCCGCAGTCCCCATTTGGTCTCAAAATCAAAGAAAAAGCCTTGGCACGTGCTGGACACAGTGGAATTTAGAGTTTTGAATCCAGTAATGCCCACGCACACATAAATATGTACATACATATGTATGTATACATTCAACAGTAAACTGTTCAAGGTATTTGTTTCAATATGTCTGCAAGTATATTGATATCCGATATTGTATATTGTATCCGATAGATACATAAATTTACTACAAGATTGAAAGTTTTCAGAAGTCCTTTTTATTGCATTGTTTACATAAAAAGGTTCAAACAAAAAGAACATAAAACGAATGTGACGACGTATTGTGGCGTTGCCAGACTCGTGCAATTCGTAGTTGCAGCCCGCAGCTGCCATATTCCGTTTAATTTTACTAGATAGTTGGCCCTCTCAGCCCTAAAAAATAATTTTATCCAGCTCCTCAATGAATTTTGTTGAGGATTGGCTAGTTCTCAGAACTCTTTTTCGTTGGATTGTTTATATATTAAGGTTCACACAAAAACAACATAAAACGAATGTGACGTCGTGTTGTGGCGTTGCCAGACTCGTGCAATTTGTAGTTTCACTCAGCACCGCAGTTGAACCACTAGCCTAGGCCATCCCTAAGTATAAAAAGTGTGACCATAGGGTTACTACACTACAAACAGCTGATCGCATCGCAGCAACAAAAAACACAAACAAATAAACTGAATAATAATATGAACCGTCAGTGTGTTGGCAGGAAAGTTGCTTACAAAAGTCACAACTAATAAGCTGCAATTGGGCAGCTATTGAAAACTACAAAATGTTGAAAGCTGGCAAGCTGTTCGTTGGATCCGTGGGCGGTCGCAGCTCCCTGCGGGGAGTGCACCTGAAACGCCGTGAGGTTTATTTGGTAGGTAGAAAGAATGCGCCGCTGCAACGCATTAACTTATGTAATACTGCATTTTAGCAATGCTTTCGCATCCTGGGTGTCTGCGAGGGGGCGGACCAGAACACCGTGCGTCAGGCGTACTTGGATTTGGTGAAACGCGTCCATCCGGACTCTGGATGCGAGGAGGCCAGTGCCGAACGATTCCAGCAGGTGGACGAGGCCTTCAAGATGCTGCAGGAGAAGTTCGCTAAGGGTCGGCGCAACATCCCGGACGACGAGGAGCAGGCCATGGAGTTTGACATCAAGCACACGGCGCCACAACATCGACAGTTTCTGTCCAACGAGGGCATTGGCTTGGGCACACCCTTTCAGCGCCAGAAGCAGTACCAGCAGGTGCGCGCCATGAAGGCCCAAGAGCGTGTCCTCGAGCATCGCATTGACAAGGCGGCCGCCGGTGACAGCACCCTCATGTCCAAGGAGGGAACCCATTTTCGCAAGCACGCTATCAAAACCAAATACGGCATTGATCGTGTGGTGGAGGATCTCATCCAGGAGTCCATGTCTAAGGGCGATTTCAACAATCTCAATGGCTCGGGCAAGCCGCTGTCCTCCGCCCAGTCGCAGAATCCCTACCTGGACTTTACCACACACAAACTGAACAGGATAATGCTCGACAATGGCTTCATGCCCGAATGGATCACCCTCAGCAAGGAGATACGCGATGCGCGGCTGCAACTGTTGCAGAAAGTTCGCCAGGAGCGCGTCTACTACGGCGATTGGCCACTACAGCTTCCCGACGAGCAGGCCGCCTGGGAAAGGTTCTCCCTGGACCACGAGCATGAAGTCCAGGAGCTGAACAAGTTGATTGACAAATACAATCTGATTGTGCCCATACTCAAGAATCAGTTCTTTCGCTATCGCCTGGACCGTGAGGCCCCAATCGTGTTTAAGGAGACAGATTTAAAACGGAATCAGCCGCGTCCTGCAGACCAATGCAAAGCGAAGGATAGACAGTCGGAAAAGGCGTTCAAAAGCTTGTTATCCGATCTGATAAGCCGTCTGTTGTGATTGGAATTGGGATACGTAAGCATCCCCATTCCATCCCCCGGTGATATTAGTTTGTAGAAATACGTTTAAATATTTTGAATAATTTGTTATATGATTTATAAAAACATGGAATGCCTGCAGTCTTGGCCAAAAATAGTAATAAAAGTAATCCCTTGGAGGGCATCAAAACTTACTAAAACTAAATGGTTAAATGTCTTCACTGGCCGTCCTTTGGCGCATCCTTCTTCACCTCGGACACCCGGCGCAGGGCACCGCTGGTCAACAGCGCCAATGCACGTGGAAAAGCCCAATGTTCGGCATGATGAATGCGTTGGGTCAGCATCTCCTCATCATCCCCTGGTAGTATCGGAACAGCTGCCTGCACGAGAATAGCTCCCGTGTCGACGCCCTCGTCGACAAAGTGAACCGTGCACCCGGACTCTGTATCGCCCGCCTCCAGGGCCTGCCGCTGGACATGCAGCCCCGGATATTTGGGCAGCAGTGAGGGATGAATGTTGATCAGACGGCCACGCCACTCGCGAACAAAGGGAACACTGAGTATGCGCATGAAGCCCGCCAGGCAGATCAACTCCACGCGAGCGGCCCTGAGATGGCGCGTTAGTTCCACATCGTAGACCTCGCGACTGGGGAAATCCTTGTGCGAGATGACCATCGAGGGTATGCCCGCCTTGGCGGCCCTCTCCAGACCCAAGACGCCCGCCTTGTTGCTGATCACGAGCACAATCTCCGCGTACACGCCCTGAGCTGAGTCTCGAGTGGCATCGATGAGGGTCTGCAGATTGCTGCCTGTTCCTGAGATGAGCACCGCAACGCGTCGTCGGGGCTGAGATAGGATCCTCTGGGTTCTCGCCAGACGCGCGCTGTGGATAGCGGAGTTCCCGTAGCACGCCATCCACTTCCGTTGCTCCCACCACCAAAACCAGACCCAAGCCGCAGTTGTAGGTCCGCTGCAGCTCTGTGGAACTGATGTTCCCAGCTGCTGCCAGCCAGGCAAACACTGGTGGCAGTGGGTACTTGTTGGCGTCCAATCGCACGGCCAATTCCTTGCGCAGCACACGTGGTATGTTCTCGCTCAGGCCACCGCCAGTGATGTGCGCCAGTGCCTTGACCCCATGGTTGGGTCGGGAGACCCTTGCCTTGGGGCAGGCGCGTCAGGATTCCCGAGCGCTCGGCTATGCCCAGAGAAAAGCCAGCCAAATCATAGACCTGCGGCTCGTACAGCAGTGGAAGGCACCACTATGGGAGGCTATCGATGGATAGAGAAATGGAATTAATATGTGGAAGGAGAGGCAGGAGAGAGATCCACACCACGCCCAACTTACACACAAAACTGCTTTTGGCCTGGCTGGCACCCTCCTGTACGCCAGCGTTGACTTCCGCAGCCAAGTCCGCCTGCCACTTGCCGCAGGCATAATAGCTGGAAAAGCTAAAGTGTTCGGCTCCATTGCAGAGTATATCGTTGACGCACATGGCCACCAGATCGATGCCCACGCTGGCATTCCGATTGGTCTGCTGGGCGATCTTCAGCTTGGTGCCCACGCCATCGGTGCCCAAAATGAGTATGGGATCGTGGTAATGAGTGGGCACGCGTGTCAGGCGACGTCCCACGGCGTTCTCAAAGCATTCCTCGCGTGGCGTCGCCTTCACCTCTGTCGACGGCAGATCCTTGACTTCTTCCGGCAGCTGGGATTCCCCCAAACCTCCAAAGGGTGCGGCCAATTTCTGCAGCTGCTCCACAAAGTTGCGCACTTTCACGCGGGGAGCATTTCCCGAGGATTTCACTTGACGATTCAACACGCCCAGAACCTTGGCACCCGGCAGGGATGTGCGCCACAGCAGGCTTCTCTGTGGTAGGACCAGCACCATGCCAATGCCGCAGTTGTGCCTCTCCAGCAATGTCTGGGCACTCAGCTGCAGCTGTCCCGCCAGCCAGCCAAAGACCTCAGGCACGGGCACTGCCCCAAAGTCCAAAGTGACCTCGAATCCCTCGGGCAGCAGGCGCTGGACATCGTGCAGCAGGCCATGCGTGACATGGGCCACAGATTTGATCTGGTTGCCAGCCTGCAAATGGGGCAGAAGCTTTTGCACATAGAGACGAGTGGGCCAATTGGGTGAGGATCTCGTTGAAGCCAGCACAGTGCAGGCCCGAGGAGGGCAGACCCACAAGCAGATCCTCTTCCTCGTACAGATCGAAGCGTGGCAGGACATGGGACTGCTCCACGATGCCCACACAGTAGCCAGCCATGTCATGCTGTCCGGGTGCATAGAGCGATGGCATCTCCGCTTTCTCGCCACCTGCAAGGAATATGTCATATATAGTGAAGATCAAACCTCAAATCATTCAATTGATACGCACCCACATCCTTCTGCAGAAATAGAGCACCAAAGCCACCCAAACCGCCAAGGACACTGGGTCTCTGGGTGCCACGCGACAAGGGTTTGATGCGTTGGACCGTTATTTGCGTTATTTGTGCACAAAATATTCGTGTTAGGTGAGACCCTTTATTAATTAGGTTATTTGTATTTTAAAAATTACATCAGAAATCATATTTAATTAGCATTTAAGATTTTTCCAGTGCATGTGTGTGTATGCGTTGAACATGGAATTTCATGCGGTGTTATTTTAGAATACGCTGTTTAATGCAAACGTGCATTAAATATTGTGAAAAATATACTTAAAATATTACTATTTAATAGATTAGTACCGTACCCCCACAATCATTTAATAACGAATTATTAACATTTTTACCGAGAGTTCGTGTACCTAGAGTCGTTTACGACGGGTGTTCTTTTTCCCCTTTTTGTCTGCATTCTTCGGCACGTTACGGAACGCCGCATTGTGAAATTGGCGTATGTTTACAAGTTGGAACACGATCTTCGGTAAATCTGTAGATTCCGATCATATTGCTGGATACACACGCCAGGAAAACGTAAACGAAAAATTCCTCCCTCCGTCGCACAGTGGCTCGTTTTCTCAAAACACGTTGCAAAATTAATAACTTTCGAACCCGGCTAGGTATAAGTTTGAAAAAAATAAAAATTAAAGTAGGCATGTCACTGGAAGGGGCGTAATTAACGGTCCAACTCGAAATTTCGTTTTTTTACCCTAAAACCATCATAAAAAATATAAATAAAATTGAACAGCATGCAAATATATTTTTGTACAACAAATCTTCGTTTTTAATAAATTTCTACTAGTAAAATTTAAATGCCCATGAATACCATCCAATCGTGTAATAAAGATTAATAGAAATAATAGAAAAGAACAAATGTCAACGTATAAGATCACCAGCTCGGTAAAGAACACAAGCACTGTAACCAAAGCCAAAATGAGCCAAGCCCGGCAACAACAACAAGACGAGCGTCGGCTCTCGCAAGCAAAAAACAACGCGTACTTCTCTATACGCTCGTCAAAGGCAGCAGTACCAACAAAAACTGCATCACTGCAAGTGAACGAGGAGAGAGCACGCTCTCATTGCAAAGTGGGTCATGGAGTGCTTAGTGCCCATCCCCCGACTCGTATTGCCTAACCAGCGATTTGCTAATGTCGACAACAACTAGTACAATGCTCTCGCTCAAAACTGTGTCCCACTGCGAACACTGTGCCACATTAGGCACTAGCAAACAATAGATTTGCGATACCAAGTGTCCCAAATGAAGATGAGATCGCCCAAACACCCAAGGCCAAAAAATTAAGACCGCCACCTATTTATGTTCGACAGGCAAATTGTGCTGAACTGGTCAAAAAAATAACTGATACAATTGGCGCAAACACATTCTATGTCACGTCCATAAAAAGGGGTAACATAAATGAACAAAAATACAAGTCAATGACGAACAAAACTATCGATCAGTTGCGAAATACCTAGAAAATGAAAAAATTAATTACTACACCTACCAACTTAAAAGTAGCAAAGAATTACAAGTGGTTATCAAAGGAATCGAACCAACAGTCCCAATCAATGAGATAATAGATGGACTTAACGATAAGGGCTTCGAAGTCAAAATGGCTATGAACATAATAAATAGAAATAAAATTCCCCAGCCAATGTTCAAAGTAGAACTGACACCTGAAAGTACGCATATAAGTAAAAATGAAGTTCACCCAATATACAAGCTTTCAATATCTACTGCACCGTAGGATAACCGTTAAGGAACCACACAAACGAAATGGACCCGTCCAATGCACAAATTTCCAGGAATATGGACACACGAAAACCTATTGCACTCTACGGGCAGTTTGCGTTGCCTGTGGTGATGTTCAGTTTCTTTTCTTTTGTTTTCTTTTTTTTTTTTCTTTTGGCTCCGAGCTATGGGGAAATGCTTGCGTTAGTAATTTAGAAATAATCCAGAGAGCTCAATCGAAGATACTAAGAACTATCACTGGGGCACCATGGTACATACGGAATGAAAATATCCATAAAGACTTAAATGTAGGATCAGTTAAAGATGAAATTGCCAAAGTGCAAGCAAAGTACCAGGCCAAGTTTCAAGCCCATCCTAATAGACTTGCGCAGTCTTTAACTTGGCACACTAGCCATACACGACTCCGGCGAAGAGACCTCCCCACCCAGCAATAATACTTAGCTAGGGACGTACTCTAAGTAATTAAATGTAATTAATTAAATAAATATATTAGGCTAAGATTTATATACTTGTCGTAAGTCTCTAATAGGGAAGATTCGATAAATAAAATCACGTAATCATAAAAAAAATAAAAAAAAATTTTTTTTTGCGTTTTCTGAACTGATAGCACGAAAAGTTAACGTCCAAAAACCGTCAAGTAAAAATATTGAACAATCGATTTTTTTAGGGTTTTGAATCATGAAATCATGAAGGAAAAGCTTTCCCAGCAAATGGCTAACGCCTATAGTTTATAAGAAAAGCGACAAAAGGAAGATTTGTTTAACTTGCTGTTAGCTTCACGGATGAGAGCCGTTCCGGACTTAAAATTAGTACATTCCTCTGATGCCCCATTTGGAAATAGGGAAAATATGAAAATATTTAATTAAATGCATATGTATGTACATATATGTATATATGTAGCAAGGCGTGGCTTGGCTAATCTATTATTTTTAACGCATTTATACCATATGAATGTGGTTTTTTAATTGTAAGCTTGTAAGAAT